CCCCAAAACCCCAAAACCCCTAGAGATATTAAATCAAGAAAAAGTAGTGAATCATCAAATTATAATATAAAGAATTGTAATGTTTAAATATTTTTGTTTCGTATTCATTGTTTAAATACAAGGATTAGATTTAGCCTGTAAATTCTCTCCTTAAATTAAATAGGCAATAACTGAGATGAGTACTATTCTTCAAAAACACAAGAGTGCTTAAGTATTAACAAGCTTTATAAATTTTCTATTTTAGAATGTAGTGAGGCAATATTCGGGTGCAATGAATGTTAAGAGATAAATGACAAGCAAATTTCTGAGAGTTTTGTCATTTGCAACTAATGCTAAGATACATTATTTCTATCTTTCTGAAACTTTGAATCAAATGAAGGATAAAACATCAGCTTAAGTTTTTGCGTATCAGATTGTAAAATAGCTTCATTAGGGCATATAGATGATCCTATTTCTGGAATATGTCTAAGTAATTCTCTAAATCATATATAATGCATATAGACTGCGGGAATCACTGTAATAATTGCAACCTTTAATATGGGTGTGAATTTTGTGATCCTTAATAAGACAAAAAGAGTTGGATTATATCTCAAACTAATTTATCAAGCGCTGGTAGTATGAATGAATATTCTAAAATTCTCAGAGACTTTAGCTAATGCCAGTGTAAAACATAATTTTTCAAATTATGCTCTCTTTAGAATGTTTAAATTCAGAATACTGTGAAGAGTGCGCAAAAGATAAACCCTAAGAATGTTTGAGATGCCCAAGTCTAAAATAAAATACTGATATTTGTGGTAAGAAGTTAAGAATTTATAAAATAGAAACAATGTCGATTTCAAACACAAGCGAGGAGAAAAACTGTTTGCAATTTGATCATGGAGATAGCTTGAATTGCTTAGTTTGCCAAGATGGATTCTTTATCAAATAAAATAAATATTATATCGATTACTCAAAAAAGTACTATGATGGCTGTTAAGAATGTATAATTAAATTTAAATAAAATCTCATAGACAAAGGATTAGGAACATGCTTAGTTCCTGCTAATGAGTAGGAATGCAGTATATGCGCAGATGGATTCTCATTGATTAGTGATAATCTAAAGCAATGCTTTGGTATGGAATTCATATTTATTAATAAAATTTAGACTGCAATATAAATCAGTATTTGAAAACTATCTCAAGGTGTACCTTTAAATAGGAAGGGCATTAAAGTTTGGCAGTTTCAGAAATTCTTGCATGTAAAAATGGATTTGTAGAGGATGGTACATGTGTCACTACTTGTGGGGTAGGATATTATGGAAAGAAAGTATTTGATGAAAGAGGGTTATAAGTAAGGTCTTTTTGCCAAATATGTTCCGATGAGTGCTTTGAGTGTATAGATTTTGACAAATGCACTTCATGCAAAAATGGTTTTTATTTATAAACTGAGACAAATAAAACATTTGGCCAATGCTTAGCAAAGATAGATCTAGATTTTGAAGGGAAAATCTATGTTGATCCTTATTTTTCATTTCCAATCCCTTCTAATGAGGAAATAGAATCCTATTAAAATACCTATAGAACAATTTAAGAAGCTGTGACAAAAGGTTATGAGTTGGGAGCAAAGTATCTTAATGCTAAAATTTATATAGAACTAAAAGCAGGTGAAAATTAGCATCATGCCATGCTAAGACAAATCACAGATTCTTAGCTCCCTAAACATTATGACCACTATTAGTAGTCTACTAGGATTGTAATAGATACTGAAGATAAATAGCCACAATTGGTATTATATAAAATGAGAGATAAATGGAGATTTAATGTAAAAGGAGGACTGACCATAAGAAATTTAGTATTTGATGCCGTAGATTCAACAATAATTCCTACTAGAGATAAATATCATTGTCTTGAAAACGGACTATCAAATTGCTGCGAAAGTACTAGTTGTAATGGCTAGGAAGAAGTCCTGTAAGCTTTGATGATTAAAAAATTTTTCTTTAGAACCTTAAATTGTGAAGTTCCAAATTTTGGTACTTTTATAAATTTTGACTCCGATAAGTCCTTCTCATTAGAAAGGCCTTAGACTCTAATAATTTAAGTTAGACTAAATTTATTGTTAACATATTATTGTAGAATGTTGTATTCAAGAATTTCAACTACAACTTCAATAGCTTGATTTAATTAAATAAGCAAAGTGGAATAATAAAGCTTGATAACGTAACTTTTGAGAACATCAATTCTTGCGGATCCATAATTGGAAATAAGCAGCCAAAGATATTCTTTAGGGATATGTAAAGAGATAGTTTTCTTTCAGCTTCTCAATCGCTTATAAATAATTTAGAATGGTAGGTCTAGCAATTTAAAAAGAAAGACAATTCTATACCATACAATAATTTGAGCACCTAAATTAGCGGTTGCTCTTTAATTTCAACTAATTCTACTCTCCCTTGTTTTTTAATTGAGATTACAAATTCAACGTTCTAGAGTATTGGTTCATTAAAGAAAACTATTAGCTAGTTATTTGTTAACTCGACTTATTAATCAAAACTTTATGGAAGTATTTTAGATCTTGAGGACTTTAGAGGGGAAGTAAAAATAATGGCTAGTAAGTTTTTGAAAAATTAAGTCAAATACTAGAGCTGTATGGTGGCTAAGTAAATATTTGAAAGATTCAGTCCTCTATTTACAGATAAATATCCTAGTCTTGGTAATAAAAGTGAGGTAAAGATACACTCTTTGATATCAATAACCAATCATAGCCATAATGTAGAATTAATAGACAATATCTTTGAGGAGAATAGTGGAACAAGGGGAATTATAGACTTAGATATTAATAGGAAGAATAACAATAAAATTCTGATTGCTCTTAACTAGTTCAAGCATAACTTTGGCTTTTCAGAGTCAACAGTTATTTATATTAATCATAGAGTTGGCATACTTTATTAGGTAGACTTGCTAATGTAAAATTAAATTTAAGATGGATTTTGTTCTGGATTCCATTTAATACAAAACAATTTTTTGTCAAATCTAGGTTGTCCATTATATTCTGGAGGACTTATCAGATATCAATGCCTCGAAAATAATTAGGATCCTATAAATATAAATGAATCTTATCCTCTGAGCATGCCGAATATTAATTTGAATCTGATTGAATTTGATTGGATTGAAAAATAAAACTAAACATTAATTTATGAAGAAATTTCTCTAGAATATGACCTTAATATGAATTCACTACAGTCAAACATTTACTATGGTAACTATGGCACTGGGGGAAAAGGCTTAATTAGTATTTATGGAAGCTTAAGGCTTTAGTTAGATAATGAAGTTTTTAATAAAAATGGAGAGTCTTGTAATGAAGTTATTAGCACTGATTTATTTAAAAGAATTTTTTGCAATTATTCTTCAAACTATTTAAGCTTTGTTGATGTTATGAACCAGTTTATTGACTATTAATAGAAATTTAAAATGCAGGAGTTGTTAATGAGGTCCCTATATTTAATTGTAGGTTCATCTTATCTAGAAATTGAATAGATTACTGTACAACAAAATTGGATGATTGAAATTGATTTTCTAAGCACAAGATCATAAGTAGTTGCTCTTGACCATTTTTGGGGAGTTTTAATATTTAACAGCCTTTCAATAGAAGATCAACAAGGATATTAAATAATTGCTTCTGAATTTTAAAATTTAAAATTAACTGACATCAGATATCATGCTTTTATTCATCCTGTGATTTCTTATACCAATAATGTTAAGATAAAGCTTTTGAATTATTTTAGAGAAAAGTTGAGCATAATTAATTGTAGATTTGCAAAAGTTGATAGTAATCCTGGCTATCCTTACTTATTAGATCTTAATCAAAACAATTAAATTGAAATACCTTCACTTTTATAAATGAGTAATATAAATATTGATTATTTTGACTGTATTTTATGTGATATTGCCTTATTTAATATTGAACTTGATAGATTCAGTTTGATCGGAGTGAGAATTTTTAATGTAGGAGTATTCTTTATGTACTCTTCTTATAAATAAGAGTATGCTAATGATTGCTAATTATTCAATTTTACATTAAAAGATGGAATTATATAAACATAAGAAGAACCCTAATTGCTTTTATAGGATGTTTTTATTGGTTTCACTAAACAGTACAAAATTAATTCCCAGATTATCAAAATAACAAGCAATAGTTAATAATAAGAAGCTTAAAATACTTAATTCATTTAATTAACAAACATATATTTTCAATACATCACCTATTTCAATGAAAGCTGCTTAATGCTTATTGATGCCTCTAATGGTTAAATAAAAATTAATAATTTAAGCATTGGAGATCTTGATAACTTTTCAAGATAATTCAAAAGTGGGTTCATATAAATTAAAGCACTAAAATCACTTGATATTGAAGGTTTACAAGCGTATAAAATTTTATCTTATTCTAAGAGCAATCTTGATAAAGCTGCTTCCCTTATATTCGCAGAAAATTTGCAAGGAAATTTTGATTTCAAACTCTCATAATCAGCTATTACAGTTTTACTAAGTGAATATATGGCTAATTAAGAAAATATAGTTTAGTATCCTTTGTTTTACTTTACTAGTCAGAATTCAATAATAACTGCAAGTTTCTATTCTAACCAAATAAATAACTGCTACATAATCAACAAGTCATTAATTTATCTTGAATCAGATGTAAAAACTATACTTAATGCGTTCAATAATTCTTTTGGTGAAATTAGATCTCAATATAATGGAGGAGTATTTTTCTGTAAAAATTGTGAGATTCAACGGTTTGAAAGCAACATATGTTCTAAAATTTATAGTGTAAATGGAGGTGTGCTTTACATTGATAATCCAATTATCAATATCACTTTAATCAATAATTTTTTAGGTGAATCTTCCAAAATCTAAAGAGGCGGACTTATCTACATTAATGATTCCTATCAGAATTAAGGAGTTTTAAACATAACTATTTAATCAACAATAGACTAAATGAATAACTTAGCTTTTGTGGATACTTTATTCGGGGCATTAATGTACATAGAATCTTAGAGAGCGATTGATATTTTATTGGATAATATCCAAGTCAGCTTTAATTAAGACTCTCAGTTTTAATTCGATAAATAAGGGTATTTTATTTGTGCAAATCAATCATCGACTCAAAGTGAGCAAATAATTGGAGGAAATATCACAGTTAGGATCAAAAGTGTTAAATCTTATGAGAAAGGATAGATTGCTTAAGGTGCTATTTTATAAGTGCAGCATTTGATTTAAAATCTCGATATCTAATTTGAGGACTCATTAATAAAAAACTATGAGTCGCCAGAATAAGGAATTAGCCTTAATGGAACAGTCATTTATGCTAATGCAGTTAATTCTATTCAAGTCAAGATCCTCAATTCTGAGTTTTCTAGTTTAAGCAACCAATAAAGTTCCGGGGCTCTAATGTACTTGAAAGCAAAAAATATTGATGTTATGATAGTGGGTTCAAAATTTGAGAACATTGTTTCCAAGCACTCAGGAACTTTATCTGTGTTAGTTGGATTGGAGTAAATTTAGGTATTAATAGACAACTCTACATTTTAATAATTTGGATTAGAGAGAACTAATGATGGAGGTGTATTTTTATTTGAAGGAAAAAGAGCAGTGCTCAAAATTTAAAATCAAACATATTTCAGAGATATTTTGTCAATGAATTAGGGAGGTATAGCATTCTATGAAACAGAGTATTGCAATTTGACAATTGAAAATTCAGAATTCTAAAATATCTATTGGATTTCTGATGGTGGTGGTTTTGCTCATATGAAAGGACTTTACAATTAAGTAGATCTGTTTAATGTGTAAATATACCAAAACTATTAAGAATCCTAGGTCATATAAATTGGATAGATCTATATGGGTGGCCTTGAAGAAAATATTATCAGCATAAGACAATCTAGTTTAAGGAATTTAGTTCATTTATTTTAAGGTTCGTTTATACATCTTAACGGAAAGAATCAGGTTGTTGAATTCTAAAATGCTTAATTAGTAAATACTTCTATTAATAATGGCATTTAAGCCCCTTATGGTGGTGTCATTTATTCATCATCTGCTATAAACTTCACCTTAGTGAGCTCAAATAGCTCATTTATTTAGGTAAGCTCTAAAGAATAGGGTTCATTTTTATACATCGATCCATTATCGAATCCAAATATTACAATTAGCTTGATTGGCAACAATTATCAAATTGGATAATTAGAAGAAGGGTATGAAATGTATTATTAATAATTGAGAAATATTAACGATCTGATTGTGAAGGGACCATTGGTAGGAAGTCTATTCTACATTTAAAATGGCTAAGGAAATATATATACTGAGGAAAATAATTTTAAATCAATTACAGCAACAAAGCTTTCCTCTGTTTTTTATCTTCCTAAAAATTTCACAATTTATGATAAGAAATCCTTCTACTACTAATGCGAGGGCTAATATGGACTAATTTTCTGCGACAACTGCACAATTGTATTAGATGAGATCACAGTAATTAACTGGCAAGCTTAGTTCGGAGGACTTGTTTATATGATTGATCAAGCTAATGTTTTAATAAAAGATTCTACACTCAAATATGGCTAGGCATAAAATTAAGGAGGAGGTATATTTGCAAAAGGCACTGGGATCTCAATCATAAACATTGTTAATTCAAATATATTCTTTGTCAGATCAAATGAAGTTGGAGGGTTGATATATGCTGATAATCCTGACCTCTAAATAATAATAGATTATACAACTTTTGAATTAATCTTTACTGAAACTGAAGGTGGTTTAATCTATGCTAAATAAGCTCGAGATATCAAATTATCAAATTCTTTTGGTTTCCATTTGTATTTTGACAATACATCAGGCAGCATATATTTTAGCGAGATGGCTGGACTCTCTCTACATCTTGATAATAACTATTTTGAAGGAAGAAAATAACTAGATTATGATGAAATCCTATATGAATTTGGATAATCCGCAGGTTTCATCACAAATAGGTATTCTGTATTTTGCTTAACAGATGCTAAAAATATAAACTCCTTCAATAATACATTTAAAAACTTTCATGTAGCTATTAATGGTACTATATTTTATATTAAAAATGCTGAAGAATTTAGAGATGAGATGTCTACCTATAATGTTTTAGCTGCTTACACTGGAGGAGTTTTTAAAATGTTCAACGTTAGCTAAATCTTAGTCATAGACTCAACTTTTGATAACATTACTGCTGATATTGGTGGAATTTTCTTTCTGAAAAATCTTTTTAACACCAGCATACTCAATTGCTCAATATAAAATGTAAAAGTAAATTAAAATGGAGGACTCATCTTTATAACTAATGAAGATAATTTGTACAAAAAATCTTACCTTAATATCTAAGGATATAATATACAGGATCTTATGAACTTCAAATCAAATGGAAATGGAGCCTTGGCTTATATCAATGATTCAACTTTAGAGTTTAGCATTGTTAATTATAAAGTCTCTAATTTCAATGCAAGATTAAATGGAGGCTTAATCTATGTAGAAAAAGCTGATACCATCTTTATTGATAATCTTGATGTAAAAGATATCTAAGCGTTAATCAAGGGCTCTATTATATTTTCAATCTATAATAAAGTTAAGATTAAAATACAGAATAGTAATTTTATTCAAGATATCGATGAGACATATAATAAGACTCAGATTAAATTAGACTTGTAAAATAGCCTTTTTGATTTATCAACTGGCACTGGAGGAGCATTCTATTTTTTGAATACAGAGAGTTTGATTGAGATAAGTAATATTACAGTTAAGAATTTTCACAATGCATATTAAGGAGGAGTATTTTACCTTGAAAACACTCTATTGAAGGACACCGGTTCTCACTATTATTAAAATTTCGCTTATGAAGGAGGATTTGCTTATTGTAAAAACTGCTAAATGCAAATATTTACTTCCAAATTTGATAATTAATCAGGAATCTAGGGAGGTGTGATTTACTCCAACACATAAACAAAGATTGAAATATTTGAGTCCAGCTTTATCAATACTTATGTTGTCACTTCTGGCGGTTTTCTCTATAGTACCACTGACTAAAATTAAGATTAAGTAGATATTTAAAATAAACAGTCTTTTGTAAAATTTTATGATGCAATTCTGATATCAAACTTTTAAAGTGATTTAAATTCAGCAGGATTTCATTTAAATAACCCTTAATTTGATATCATAATGAATAACTCAATGATGACTCTAGAAAAAATCTAATCTTAATAATATGGAAATGTTTTTTACATTGAAAGTGCAAGGAGAATAGAGATTGATGGAATTATAGCAAGAGATATTAAATCCTCATTTGCTCAAGGATCTTTTTTATATTCAAACTAATTTAATGTTGAAATTATTATTAAGAACTCTGAAATAAATTGCCAAAATAGTATTGAAGAAGAATAGTATGTTTCTTTAAACATAATATAAAGAGGAGGTGCTATATTTTTCACTAATAGTAATATTCCATTTATTTCAGAAAATAATAACTTTAAATATTGTTAGAATACTCAATAAGGGGGTATCTTTATGCTTTAAAAATCAGAATTACAAGATTTTAATTCTAATTATAGTTTTAGTTCTGCTTTATAAGGTGGAGCTATTTACTGTAATTAATGTAGACTAAATATTACAAAAGGTAACTTTAGTAATCAGATAGGCTAATAAGGATCAGCTATTTATCTTAAAGAGTATGATTCATCATTGCAAATAACATTCGGAAAATATTTAATGTTCGAAACACAATAGCAGCTATAATCTTAATTTCAATTTGAAAATAAATGTGGAGGAACAATTACATTTGATGAGGATGAAAATATAAAAGGCGAACTCAATTTTCTAATTAGTGAAGTGGAAGCTTCGAATCTAACTTCTGAAACATATGGGGCATTTTTATGCAGCTAATAAGAATCACTTTCACTTGAAATCTAAAATGTAAACGTAACAATGTCAAAATCTAAAAATGAGGGAGGAATTTTTCATTTAATGAAAATTAACTCGTTGAAAATTTAGAATTCGTTTTTCGAAAATTTTTAAGCAACAAACAAAGGTTCGCTTATTTCAACCGATTAGTATGTCAATTTTTTCAAACTAAATATCTAGAATAATACATTCATCTAAGATAATATTGAAACAAGCAAAGGAGATTGGCTAAATATGATACCCACTGCTGGGATGATGTACTTGCAATATACATATGAGTTAATCAGCATCAACAATAGTTTCAGTAGTTTATTACTTTCTTATGAGTGTGGTGTTTATAGTTTAAAAAATGGAAACTTATATGACGAGAACTCTACCTATAAAGACATAGGAACATAAAACCAAGGTGGAATAATGTGTCTTACTTTTAGCGATGCCACATTAAAGAATGTAATTTTCTAAGGAATTTATGCTAATGAAGGTATATTTTAATATTCTATAAATTTTACTATTTTTTAGGAGGGATATTTGCAGTAGAAAGTTAAAATGTTCAAATTTAGGTAATCTCCTTTAAAAATTTATAATATTTATTTAGGTTTTTGACTCTGTATTTTCTAATGTATAATCAGGTCACGCTGGTGGTATTGCTAGATATAAGTTATCACAGTCAATTTTCGGAGCTTGATTATTAGACTAAATTTTTTAAAATTGCACTTTCTCAAATATTATGACTTTTTCTAAAGGTTCAGGATTTTATGTTGAGAATTATAGGATGGGATAAATGAAATTCAAATCTTGTAAATTCCAAGTGTTTATTGGGCGTTTAACTGGAATATTTGATATAGAATCAAGTGAAGGTTCTATTTTACTGTCTTCAGATTTTAAGAATTATGGATAGACTTTTATTCAAGATTTCTATGCATATAATTCTAATGATGCATCCTCTTCTCTTTTTTACTCTAACTCCGAGTCTTTTTATTTAGAAATGACAGACCTGCTTATAGATTGCGAGTTAAAGTCACAAATCATGTGGAGAGATGAAACATTAATATTAGCTCCTGCTATTAAAATTAAGTAGTCTAAAAAAGGCATAATTTCAAAAAGAAATACATTTAAAAACTGCCAAAATTCAAAAGAAGGCTCCATTTTTTCAATATAATCATCGACTCTGATAGACGAAGGTTCGGAGTATTATAATAATTCAGCAGAATAAGGAGGTATCTTGAGTTGTACTACATGCACAGTTAAAATTAATGGTTCAAATTTCCATCATAATTAAGCTTAGTAAGGAGGCATATTTATAGTTTATGAAAGCTACGATATAGTCTTAGACAATGTTTAGATTTGGGAGAATAAGGCAATTAAAAAAGGCGGTGTCTTTTTTGTCAACTAGATTCTGGAAATATCAACTTGGAAAAATGATATAGTTATCAAGAATTGCTATGATATTAGAAATATATTTGCTTCAGAAGGAGGATTCTTATACTCATAAAGCTTCGATCTCAACCTAACAATCACAAATTCTACTTTTTATGACATTTAAGCAGCTTTAGATGGAGGTCTTCTATCATTAAATAAGGGCTCTAATTTTTACTTAAGGAATTTGAGAATAACAAAAGTAACTGCAAGAGACTTTTAAATTCTAACATCTATAGCTCAACTTAGAAATTTCACGATTGAAAATTGTTAGATAATATGTGATCCTAGTTACGAAGGTGATCCTAGCACAGAATTAAATACGAAAAGTCCAAAATATAATAGATTAGGAATTTTTAACTTTCAAAATTCTCAAGGAATAAATGTTATAAAGTCAAAGTTCTAGTAATGCACTTCTTCGAATGAAGGGGGAATTTTTAAACTATCAAAAGTTACCTATTTTTCAGATTATGAGTCTAAGTATATTATGAATTCAGCTATTTTCGGTGGAGTCTTCCATATATCTTAGTCAGGTGTCTTTCTTAATGAAACACAGTTTTAAGATAATAAAGCGAATAGAGGTGGTTGTATTGATATTGGATATGATTCTTATCTTTCTATGAATAAGGTTTCTTTCTAAAGTAACTTAGCTTACTCATCTGCTGGAGTTATATATATTTAATCAAGAGCTTATTTTTAGGCAATAAATAGTGATTTCAGTAATAACAAAGCTAATGATAGTTCTGTAATAGAAATCTTTGAGAGTTCAAAGATTTATTATAATTTGGTGAAATTTTGTACAATTGATTATAATTATGCACACTCTAACTCTATCAACATTTTGAATGCTAATTTTAGATTTGAAAAAAGCCAAATGAATAACAATAAAGCAGATACTCGTAGCTAAAATATTTTTGCTGCTTTTGCAACTATTTAAGTAA